TATAAAGTCTAAGGTAGTGTACAGCAGTACTAGGCCCTCACATTCACCTACCACGTACTCACTGACGCACCCAGAGCAACTTCCAATCCTGCCAACCACACTCGTGGCAAGCGTCCTATGCAGGTGCACTGTTTTTTATGAACCTCCATTGCCTGTTGCTACCTTTATGATAGGGCCAGAGTACGTCTTCATCTACTACCCCACTTGCCACTTCTAGCCTAAATAGTGAGCCCTGATAAAATGGTAGATGAAATACAGTGGGAGATGGCTTTCTGGGAAATGTAGGTACCCATAAATTAAGCTATAAAGATGGTGAATGGAGACAGGAGTCCCAGCTGCATGCTAGGGTTTGTGATATTTGCATATTGCCTAAGTCCATTGTATATCACACACTCGGTGGTGGGTGCTGGAAGCATCTAGGTTTGCAAAGCTAGCATGAGGTGAAGGCTCCTAGAATAAGGAGCTAAGCTAGAATCACTGCTGACATGTCAGCAACATAAAATATAGCCATGACCCATGCGCCAGAGGACAGACTTAGACTGATAAAACTTGCCTATTGGTCAGCACCAAGTCTGTATAGATTCAGCCTCATTAGGGGTAAGAAAAGAGAAAATATCAATTTGACACCATGAAAAAATGCCAAATGAAGTATCAAATAAGAAATATCATAGCACTTTGTAGGTTCAATGACAAATTTTGTGTCCTTAGAAAATGTATACAAAGTTCATCATTGAATTTCCACAAATGAACATACAATCATCACATGCACAGGCACAATCAAATAGGTCAGCCCTTCATAGTATTCTTTAAAAATACTGTCACAGAGAGGGAACTGCTAAACAACAAATCTGATATTCTTTTAATTGATTTAGAGTATCTCAATATTAAAAACTACTAAGGACTGTTTCATTTATTTATTTTTTAAAATTTTACCTGGAGCCATGCCCAAGAAGCCTTAAGCAAGTGGACTCCCTAAGGACTATTTTATTAATAGATATTGCTAGAAGTACTAAATATTACTGGACGTGTTGACAATACCGTACTGTGAATGAATTGAAATTGTACCTAAGTGTCTACCTGACTCTTTTTTTTTAGGTGAGGTGATATATTTTTATTTATTATTTAAGCCACATTGAGTCAGGGTGTTCTGTTATTCAGAGCCAAAGGTATCCTAATTATATAATTTTCCTTTTAAAAAATAAATGTTATTGTGTATATTTAAGGTATACAACATGATGT